GGGTTGGGTCGATGGCACCGCAGGCGGCCGCCCTTCCCCGCTGGCTCACCGGCACATGCTCTCCTCCCCCCCGCCCCGGCACCTCACCGGCTTCCACCCGGCCTTCAGCCCCTCCGGGCGAGATGTGGGACATTTGGTAACCACCATTTCACCATCCTCCCGCTCAAGGGATCGAGGGAAGCCAGCAAAAGCTGATTTATTTTTTTTTAAATGAGAAAGTTCAAGTTCCAAGTTTATCCTTGGATTAACAGCAGGTTTTAAGAAACAGTTTTTTTAAAAGAAATAAAGTTAAAATCCCAGACAAGGCACCTCCATCTCGTATTTTTTTGACACAGACACAGCAGCACCGGCTCCCACGGAGCGAGCCAAGCCGTGGGAAGCGGGGATTTCTGCTCAAGAGCCGGGAGCCTCCAGGAGAGGCGGCTGGTCCCAGGCTGCAGGCCCGGCCTCGGGAGCCCTGGTTTCACCAACAGGGTCACGTGTGAGGAAGAGGAGCTACAGCGCTGCTGCGGCAAGCGGCCGGCCTCACCCCGAAAGCCCCGGGCTCCCGTAAGGCTCGTGAATTGGGTCTTGCACGGCCCCAAAGCCGAGCAGCAGAGCAGCTTTAGGGCTGGCACCGCTGCGCTGCGGAGCCACGAGTTCTGCTCTAGGTGGGGAATTTGTAGGGCTCGGCCACACGGCACAACCCTGCCTGAGGGAGTTTCTCTTCCTTCCAAAGTTAATTCTATTCCCGGCCTTCCCTGGCAGAAGGTGCTTCTGCTACCGGAGAAGTGGCCAAAGCCAAACCCGTGGCAGCAGGAGCAGCTTCGGAACAGCCTCCCACGTCACCAGCGCGGCTCCTCACAGCCAGGCTCTCTCCTGGACACGCGTCACAGCAGTGACACAGCCTCGGAGGGGGCAGCGGCAGGACACCGCTGCTGCTGAGAAGCCTCCTGGTACTTCTGGGATCACCCGAGACAGCCTCGTGCCGAATTACCCCCGTTCTCCCAAAGTTTGCCCTACTTTGAACACCAGCTCCTCTAGAACTACAGCAGCAGCCAAGTTCTCGTAACCACGACACGAGGCCAGCTAGGTTACCCCGGGGGGAACACAACATCTATGTACAAGAAAATCTCCCCTTAGACCATCTACGAGAGGCTCCCACAGCGCAACACCGGTGTTCAGCGAGGTGGGAACCTCGAGCTGGAAGGAACAAGCTCCCGTTTCGCGTCACCACGACGCATCAGGCTACAAAACCACAGAATCGAAAGCTGCAGCTGAGGGAAAAAAAACCCAACGAAACCCCCCAGCAACAGGCTGCCCTTTAGCAGAACCAAGGTTTGAGCACAATCCAGAGGATTCAACTGCAGCGGCATTAGCTTCGTTTGAGTGTATTTAAATAAAATAAAGCATTTTAAAAGTAACAGGCACTAAAATACCCACGTCCCAGCCGAGCCCCACGAGCACGGCACGCACAGCCTCTCCCCACCCCTCCCTGGGCAGACTGTTGGGCCGTTTGAAGCCATTTCCACGAAGCAGCGTAACAAGAATATTCACAAGGGTCAGCTCCCAGCCAGCATCCCAGTTACTCGGTTCAGGCCCGCAGCCACGAGCTCCACAGTGTTCCCAGCGAGACAACCGGCGGGGAGGGAGCCGGGACCGGATCACCACAAGCAAGGATCAGGCACGTCCCCCTCCCGCTGCAGCCTCCCCCCCCACGACGGGCCGCCTCTGCTCGTTCCGTGCAGCGCTCAGAGCTTCTTCAGGCGGCTGTACAGTTCCCTTTTGCTCTTCTCCCCCGCCCAGGTTCGGCTCTTGGTGCGGAACCTTTTCAAGTCTTCTTTGAAATCCTCATGGTGCATGGGGCGATAGCTCTGGGGCTCGCAGAAACTCTGGGGACAGAGGAGCGGGTTTCACCTCAGCAGTGATCCGAGACTCACCGACAGAGCCTGGCAGCAACTTTCCAACACCGCCGCCAGACGGAGCAGGAACAGCCCCCCCGCCCTGCGCAGGAGCTCCCTACCAGGCGCCCATCACGAAGCCAAGCGCTGTTCAGATGACAGCCACCGCGGCACAAAGCGCCTCCAGCCCCGTGGCTCACAGCCCTCGCCCCAAATTCCCTGGCAGACACCAACGCGGAACCTGCCCAGCGCTCCCCTTGCCATAGCACAGCTCCGGGGAAGGCTGGGGGCTCCCAGGCCCCAGCACCGCAGGCGGCCGTCGGCTGGTCCGTGCTGCCACCTTGAGGCCCTCGGTCCTCCCACCTCGGCAGAGGGGACCCACAGGGCCGAAACAAGACCCGGGCACCCACGGCCACAGGGGAGCCAGAGGAAGGCAAGGAGAGCCAAAACAAACCAGGACGGCTCTCACTGCCATCGACACCAGCGTCCCCCACGGCGGCCCGAACGCTGGGAGACCCAACACCCCGCTGGGAAACAGCCCCCGGCCACGGATCGGCTGCATCTCTCGGACCCCTCTGAAAACACAGCCCGTTGCACAACGGGAAGGTGACCCACGAGAGACCCCGAAGTGCGGGGGCCTGAGAGGGGCTGCAGTGGCAGGGCAGATCCTAGTTCGTGTCTGCAGGGCAGGAAGAACTAGCTGGAGGAGGAGGGCACAGCCCCTGAGCCGCTGAAGCGGCAGAAGCCAAGTGATACCAGAAACACCCTCCCCATAACGCTGGGAAGAGCTGCTGGGCGTTTTTTAGCTTCCTTTTCTGAATTAGAGGCTGAGAACGCAAAGCTCAAGTTTTTCAGTTTTGCTGTTTCAGTGTAACAGGAGACTTCAGGTTTCCGTTTGTCAGATGGCCATTACTGTCAAGCCTCCCTCCCCTCCTAGCCCTGGCAGGCTGAGTCGTCCTAAAGGGCATTTTGGACTCCTAGTTGTTATACAAAACTGCTTTCTGCCCTTTTCTTTTACTCTGGAAAACCTTTCAGCCGCGGCAGCGCGACAAGGCTGAAGCATAGGCTCGGAGCGCCTCGCCGCCGCTGCCAGCCACCACAGCCACCCAGCGAACGACAGGCTGCCCCGGAGAGAAGCCTGATGGAGTGTGACTGCATCAGCACTATTCAGCTATCGTTTCTGAGGGGGGAAAATGAATTTAAGAGACCAGCACTTACCCGGCACCTGGAGAAGAAGTCCTTGTAGCCCCCCTTGAGGACATAAAGCTCGGGGTAGTGGAGGTTGGGGTACTCGTTGCCCAGCCTGTCCCGCTCTCTCACAAACCGACACCTGCAGCAGGACAAAAACCCCGCGTTCACCAAATAACACAGGAAAACAGGGCGTGGGAAGCGGCCGACCAGCCACGCTGGCCGCAAAGCCGCGGCCAACTGGTTTTCCCTTCCCGTCTCCAAGCACCCCAGCCCCACTCCGGCGGGGCCGTTCACGTCACGGGCTGTGTCACATCCCTGCCAGCGGCGACACCCAACATCCACCCGTGACACACGGCGCACGAGGAGGCGGCCGGCACGGTAACGGTGCCACCCTGGAAGCTTTGCTCTCGACCACAGCGAGCTCTGGTCTAGGGGAGCGTGGGGTAACTCACATTCGAGGGCCCCGCTCTGAAGAAAACTCGCAGTGGAACACCACAATCACTCGCTTGTTCTCCGAGGGCTGGATGGGCTTCTTCAGCAAGTAGTCCTCCACATCCTCTTCCATGTGGAGGTTTACGGCACCCTGTAAAGGCAGAGTCACGCCTGAGCCCAGGCAGCGAGCGGAGGAGGGCAGTGACGAACCAAGCCCACGTCCTTGCAAGCTGGTTCCTCGTCCCGGTTTCCTGGGGGAGCCCTGGCAAACCCTCCCCAGCCACTGGGAACAGCTTCAACCCCGAACAGAACGGCACAGAGAGCCTAAGGCTGACGCCGGGTGACCTGGTCCTGTTTCACACGGGCCTTTCAACAGCCGTGGGCTGTGGCTCGGGGGATTTCCCTTCCCACCTCACGGCACCCGAGCGGGCCGGCCAGCCTGCTCAAGCAGCAAACCTCCAGATCGACTTTGTTCTGCACAGCCACTTGTTCTCTGAGGTCTGGGGCTTCAGTGGAGTTTAATATTCCCATTTCAGCTTCCCCAGGTGTCAGGATGCTGCACACCGAGTGCCTTACATCCTCCTCCAGAACCGCCTCCCCGCCGGCCTCCTCTGCGTAAGGAGAGCGGAACGTCCCTCCTCGGAGGGAAAAGCCACTTTATGAGCCAAGTGTGAGCTCAGCGCCCCGAGACCCGCGCAGCACGTAGGTGTAAGGGGATGGCAGACCCCGTGGGGCCCTGGGCTCTAACGTACCCGCACGGCCTCGGATCCTGCTAGCAAAGAGCGGCCCCACACGCCACCAAGGGCCCCCAGTCTGCAACTCCAGACACCCCTGAGGTGCTTTTAGAGGGTCAACGTACCTTGATGTGTCCTCCTTCGTACTCGTATGGGTATCTACAATCAATTATCACGCACTCCTTGATGAAGCTCGCAAACTTCCCAGTCAGCACAGACACAATCTGGAAAAAAAAAACCAAACAACCACCCACCCCAAACCCCCAGAGTTCAGTTGTTTCAAGGTGGTTTTATGTTGTTTCCGCACCCCCACACCCCCCCCAAAGATTTTTTTCTTTTTGGCCCTGCAGCACATACCATTTCCGAGTCGATGTATTTTAAATCTTGATGTTTCCCATCGACAGTGTGGAACAAATAACCCTACAAGACAGAGAGCACTGCACTGAGAAAACGCAGGCCAGTGCCCAGCAGTTCCTTCTGTAACACAGATATTTTGTTGACAAGAATCTCTTCAGTGAAGCTCAAGAGCTAAAACTAAGAACTCTCAAATTCAGGGATAGAGTTTTATTTCTGGCTCCTACTGAAGGGATTGTGCAGCTCTTTTTGTACAGGCACAAAGGAATCGCTGTGTTTCACCGATGAAGACTCTTATCCCTGACAGCCGTTCCCAGTGACGTACGTACTGCTAAAGGGGGGGAAGTGCTTTACTTGGGCTGGTTCGAGGCATCTCTACCAAGGGAGGCTGTTAAAACACTGGAAGTAACACTCGAATTACCTTTGAGAAGTCCCCAATAAGGTCCCTCTGGTCGTTGTCCAAAATGCTTTCGATCTCGGCCGCGGAGGACTGCGTCTTTACCATTTTCAGACTCTGGGGGAACACGGGTTGGGGATCAACGCCGAGCACCGGCAGCAGCGAGATCCTTTTCCCACAACGTGACAGAAAACTCAGCGTTCACTTCGAAGCCCTGAACAACTCCTCAGCCTCCCCTTTGGATTCAGGCAACGCTCTCCCAGCGGGCAACTGCCACGCCAGCTCCCCCAAACCCCCGCCCTCCGCAGAGCACGCAGTCCTGCTCGGTCAGCAATTCACCCGGAAACGCTCTCGTTAACCTTCAGAAACCAGACACCCATATCAGATCCTCTCCTCAGCAACTCTTGTTACAAAGCTGGACGCCAAGCCACCCACCGTTGAGTCCTCGGAAGGTGTTCCAGGCAGGCTTTTCCTCTTCTTGCTTTTCTCGGGAGAATTCTCTTCCTGGGATCTCTCCGTCCTTTTCTGGGTGGTTCTTCCTACCCGACTGGGCAGAGATGAGGAGCCAAACAACCGGCATCGTTTGGCCTACGAGGAAGGAGAGGAGTTAGGAGCTGTCTAGCAAAGATCTAGATCAGAATTTAAGCCAGCCTCGGACTACCACGAGCTTTGCCTCACACGAGGCCTCCCCGCTGCACAGCGGGACGTGAACGGAGCCGGCTGAACCCGGAGCCTACGTTTCCAGCAACACTTGTTGCTTGCTGCGGGGACTGGGTGAGCTTGGGGCACCACAAGCAACAGGATGAGCCAGCAGAGTGCTCTGTACCAATTAGCAGCCAACCAGCAGACTAAAGAGCCTAAACCCCCTCTGCAGTCCCTTATCAGATCAGGCTAGAGGTGTTCCAGGCAGGTCTGGGCAGAACGGGCTCGGGAGGGCCAACAAGCATCTGATAAGGGAAGTCCAGAGCATCTGGCATTTGTGAAGTGGGTTTGTGAGAAGGAAGCGAATGCCTGGATCCACTGACGAAGTCTTCCAGGGAAACAGGCTTCAGAGACAACAGAACCCCAAGGGGGCGTGTGCCCTGTCTTGTTCCGCTGCTCCCGTTGGGGACAGAGGCTCAGAGAGGGTGGGATCACTTGGCCCGGGTGGGATCACTTGGCCCGGGTGGGATCACTTAACGGCCGCCAGACCAAAGTCCCCGTCTCTGTTCTGTCGCGCCCTCGCAGCACACTCACCCGACTGTCCGTTTTCCTCATGACCAGCGGGGCGGTCCAGAGGCTCGCCACATCGGGTGGCATCTCCTCATCGTTCTGAGGAGGGAAAAAAGAGAAAAAAAAGAGAAAAAAAAAAAAAAAAGGGAGTTCATTCTCATCCCCTTCACGGTGGGCAGAGACGGTGAATACGGGCTCCGCACAGCTCGGGCAGACGTTCCAGTTGAATTCAGCTGTCAGCGCGGTTTTAGGAATTTAACTCAATTACTCATCCAATGCTCAGTGAAATAATGGATCCAAGGAGAAGGTAAGTCACACCAAGTCACTGATTGATTAGCAACGACGTTCCTCCGAAGCTCTAAGCGTTTCCAATTCAGTTACAAACAGCCTTCTATTTAAGCGGCTGGAAAGCAAATATCACCTCTCGCTCTTTCAGCGAGTTTCTAAAGAAAAATGCCAACTGTTCAGATCGTTCTCGCTAGTGCTGCAGCTCATCTGCCGTAGGAACAGCAGCAATTCTCGAGCTACCGCTGTTCATGCACCAGGGAAAGCCCTGCCTGTGCTAGGAAAGAGCACGCAGAAGACAGAGACGCTGCGATGCAAGGGCTGGAAAAGATACCTCGCCCTCACGGAGTCACAGAGCCACAGAATCGGGTTGGGACCTCAAAGACCATCCAGTTCCAATGGCCCCATGGCAGGGACACCTCCCACCAGGGCAGGCTGCTCAAGGCTCCATCATACGTGCGCCACAGACACGCGTGTTGCCAGCCCGCTAACGCCAGAGCCGGCCGCGCAGCGTCTGTCCTGCTGCCTTCGCACGTACCTTCCACTCTTGCTCATCCAGCAGCTCCAGGAATCCATCGTCATCTTCGCTTTCGGAGGAAGCCAGAGAAGGCTGCTGCAGGAAAGCTGGCCTGGAGTTTTCCTGTTCGCCCGTGGGAATCTGAGACGAGACAGTCAGTCCTAAGGACAGCCCCCCCGTCACTGCAGGGTGCCGCGAGCAGAGGCGACGCCACGCCTGCCGCTGCGCCGCAGAGACCAGGGCGGCTGTTCCCTGCCTTGGGCAAACCCCAAACCGAGCCCCAGCCCTTCTGGGCGCCCCATCGTCCCGCCCATGCCTGCCTCCATACCAGCATCTGCTCTAGTGACAGTGGAAACCCTCACAACCCAAACTCCTCTCCTCCACACCGATGCCCACACTCCCTCAGCTTGCTGCAGCATAACCTCGGCTCTGGAGTGACTCGGCTTTCACAGACCACGGAACAATCCAGGCCTCAAACTTCTGACCACCTCAGGAGCCAAATGTGAGAAGAGTTTTCTTATCTGGCAGCCAGATAAGATCTCCTATTTGCTGTGTGAATAGGGGTCATTAACAGCATTGTCTTTGAACCTTGATGCAATTTTTCTTCCTCCCAGCCAGCAGAGGCTTAGGTGAGAAGTATTTGTGAAGAGACTGACTTGTGAAGAACAGGGTAGTACTCACTGCCTGAGCTGGGGATGAATTCTGCTTCGGTCCAGGAACCCCTTTTCCATCACGGGAGCGGCCGGGCACAGAGAAACGAGAGGCTGGCTTCGTGGGCTTCTTAAACTCAAAGGATTCCTGGATTAAAAAGGAGCAAAGCGATCGCTTCACCAGCGCCACAGGCTGCGCGAGCTGCGAGGATCGCTGCAACCTTTCAGGCTTTTTTAAAAAACGACCTGATGCTTTGGATTCGGGTTCCCTGCTGCCCACAGGAATAGTCTGAAGGCGAATGTTTTCGAATTAGAGTCGTTACAAGAGTGATTCATTTAACATCATCAAGCTCTTATCCTCTTGATATCACCTACGGGCTTAGGGCTTTTCTATTTCTTTTGTCAGCCAACTCCTCTGCAAAACAAATCATTTCCAGAGGCGGCCAA